GGTCATCATCTGTACCCCCTTCATTTTTACTTAGATACACTAAACCCTTTTACATCAAAAGAAGTCACAGAATGAGATGCTAAATTCCAATTCTTGCACAGGTTTGGGTTGAGAAATCTTACTGAGAAAATTTAAGAGTTGCCCAAAGAAAAAGATTTATAATCTTATGAAAACAATAGAAATATACACAAACAAAAGGAAACTTTTAGCCTGAATCAAACTCATCCTTGCATAAATGGAACAAGAAAAGAGGAGTAACAAGATGTGCACAAGTAACCATCCCGTAAGGATTGTATGAAGAGTCTAGCCACTCTAGGATAAACGAGTTTAATCTTCAAAGCTTCAGATGATAGATAAAGATATTAAATTAAAGAAATATGGATAGAAGTGAGGAAGTATATGACATCCTTATCACTAATAAGGTAATTACTCCTAAACCAGGATGTGAATGATCCCAAGAAAATAAAGCAGAAAATAATGAATCAGAGAGAAAAAATTGTTGCAACATGGGATGACCCAACAGTAGAGATTCTTAGAACATTAAACTGTCAATCATCCAATATCAAGGAAAACTCCGATGTCCTTATTACGATGAGTAAAACAATTCTCCGGAACACAAACTATGGAAAGAAGAGTTGCAGATGGGGGGAAAATTGTGAAGAGGTCATGTTGATATATATATATACTGTCAAAGCTGCTTTATACATAATAAGAAAAAATAAGATCAGAAAAATTGAAAAAAAAAAAGAAAAGCAGCATTTTTCATTATAAAGCTTAAAAAGATGAGAATCTTTAGAGTGATTATATATTAACCATCAAAGCTACTTAGTGGTTGCTAACCCACTGCATTAAAACAGAATGTCAATCTAAGGCAAACAAATAGTAAATAGCCTTTAACTTTGTCGGGGCAAACCTTGCCGTACAGTCTACAATTTTCCATGTAAAGACATGGATGTTGTTTCAAGGAAACACACTTACAATTTACAAATCAGACAGAGCCCCTAATTACCAACTCTAGATTATCAACATAGTCCAATGTAATTCATCAATGTGACCTGCAAGAACAAGAATAAACAATGTGCTATGAAGATGAAGAAGACTAAATTAGCAAGGTAAAACACAAAAAAGCCTAAGAAGAAAATGCATTTGGCAACATAATAACATTTAATGAAAATAACATCTAATGACCATCATCTACAATATTCCCAGATGTTTAGTTGGAACAAACATAACAAATTCACCAAAGAGAAGTACGTTTTGTGGAAGTAAAGCATTTACCTACTGAGGTCCTGGAGATAGCTCTTTCCCAGTGATAGCCACTGTACATATATCACTATCCATGTCACCAGCCCCACAAATGTTCACATCTGATCATAGTTCAAAAGCTTGAGAAATTTTAACTAAATTTGAAATCACAATATAATAAAACAAAATAAGTGGCAAATACAGCCAAGAGCTCAGAACATAATTCATACCTGCAACTTCATCTCTTAGCCAACCTTGAGCACATAAAAGACCTTGTACAGTCATTGCATCCATGGAACTAAGATATTGATTGAGTGATCTACCTTCAACATTTAATTGAGCAGATATTGGAATGGCCAATATATCGCGGGCCACTAGAGAAAGAATAGGATATTTAGCTTCATTGAACTTCCACCAAGCTAAAACATTAAAACTGTCACTGAGGCCTTCTTTTGAGGGATGAACTGGTTCCTCTAAGTACATGTCCAAATCTGATTTTATTGAATGGCTTGACGAGGTCTGTTGAAGATACTGATCAAGTCCCCTTTGTGTATCAGACAGCGTGATACGAGAAGAGGTTTTGAAGCTAGAAATACTAAAACCTGCTGCATTTGTGCGGTCACTACTGCCCTCGTCATAGCATAGAAGGTTCTGATTATTCGAAGTGTAAGCAGAACGAACTAGATATTCATTGTACAGACTTGTCAAATTCTTACGGATGTTCTCAATTTTAGTCTTGGCTTCGTATTCACCATCGTAAATTAGCTTGAAGAAGTACTCTATGGACTTCATTTTGTATCTAGGATCTAAAATCGAAGCAATTGCCATTACCTTTCCAGTAACATCCCAATACTGCTCAAACTTGTCAAGCATTTCTGAAGCCATTGTTGCAACAACTGAAAGTGGGTTAACTGACCAGTCTTTCAATAATAAGCGTATACCACATGCATCATTGAAGAAGAGATTTGCAGTGGGGACTCTGGATCCAGAAAATTTTTCAATAGCACTATAGAACACATCCATGCACTCACAAACAGCTTTAACATCATCCATATCCTTAGATGAAAGCAAGTCCGCAAACTCTTTGTCACTCTCTGCCAAGCGCTCAAAAGCATACTCAAACCCACATGCTGTTGCAAGCATTGAGTATGTTGAACTCCAATTACCCTTAACATCAAGAATTAGAGGTTTCTGTGGGGCTTGAACTAACCTTGCTAACTTCTGAAATCTTCTTATACTTTCTTGAGAGGATTTCACATGTTTGATGGCATCTCTAACTCTATCAACGACCTCACATACTACCTCCAGACCATCTTGGACAACAAGATTTAATACATGTGCATAACCATGGACATGAAATAAATCACCATTTAAAAGCAGGGATGCCTTTGGGCGGAGAAATTTAAGCATTTCTCCAGTCACCTCTTCAGTATGGTTACAGCTGTCCAGGATCATGGTGGCTACCTTCTTGGTCAGTTTCCACTCATACAATTTCTCTATAATGGCTTTACTAATTTCTTCTCCTGTGGACGGAGCGTCAAAATGCAAGAAGTTTATAGTCTTCTTCTGAAGCTTCCAGTCATTATCAACGTAATGGCAAGTCAAGCATAAGTATTCCTCCTCCTCACTGACACCAGATCTCCAAGTATCTGCTGTGAGACTAACTCGACATGGGAGCTTGTCAAGAACTTCATATAAGTTAAGCCTCAAATTATCATAAATCTTCATGCAATCATCCTTGATAGTCTCATGAGAAAGCAAGTTGAATTGAGGTTGAAGATTCCTTACAAAGGTTCTAAACCCAGCATGATGAACAATTGAAAGAGGGTATTCATGCAAAATAATCATCCGAGCAAGGTCCTGTCGACTTAGGTCTTGATCAAAATGGGAGCCCTCAAGTTCTGCAGCTCCATCTTTCTGGGCCCCATAAGCAATCTGTACTGGTCGGCGTATAACAAGTTTTCTCCTTTTCCGGCGATCTGGTCGTCGGACATTGGTAGTAGTACAGATTGCTAGGTGGTTCTTGAGATGCGTTGTGCCGCTTCTACTGCTTGCTGTCAATTGTCGCTTGCAGTGATTACAGGTAGCTACCATAGCACCATCTTCCCTTTTTTCTTTAGTGAAGTCATTCCAAACTGCTGACCTCAATTTTCTGGCTCTAGGATTAGGAGCAGCAATAGCTATCCCAACGCCGTTGTTTCCATCCATTTCTGAGGAATCGTGCATGCTTGAAGAAGAAACCACAAAAATTAGATCTTCTGAGGAAACGAATTTAAGCTCGCTACAGAAAATGCATAAAGGTAATGCCCAGTAACTCGCAGTTTAGATCAGGACGCAAGACGCTATAAAATTCACGCACTGCAACTATATACTACAAGGTTACTTCCGACAAAATGGGTTTGCTAGGAAGTTCAATTCAGTACTCGGAAAGCTCCCTATGAATCAGATCATGAAATTTATACCCGTAAATCAGCTGGATATTGACCTAGGAAAGTATGGACATGACACGGACTTGTCATTGCACCTATTAGCCAGTTAAACAGTAGAAAACTAAACCTTATTAGTTAGGTAGTTTGAGCTCATGTAACAAGAAAGACGCTATGATTTTTGTGAAAACAAATGTTTAGCCTTTACACAAAACTTATACTAAATCATGAAGTGCATGATGCTAGGACACACTAACTGCTAACTTTTAGGGCGAGTTCTTCTAGGTCCCTTATAAATGGCATCAAAGTCAACTCCACCTCCCCATTTGCAAGCGAGCGGCATGGATGGTGACAGACATTGGGACTAGCCTAGTACAAAGCCAAATGGATTATGATGGTATTGTAATGTCTGACCAGGACTAGACTAGTGTGAAGCCAGCCCGCATGGGAGGGGGACTGCTGAAACATAGCAGTATGCTGGGGTCCACTTAATCCAACATTGACTAAATGGGGGAGTCAAATGTGAGCTAGGTTACTTGGACATGGCGTTTTGGGTGCCGTGTCCATATCCGACATGTGTCGGACACGGATTCTCCACAGATATGTCATGGACATGTGTTGTTCCAAGCAAAACCCGATTTCCCTATTACTAGTTTATTTAGTAATACTGAGCTCAAAACCAATCGGTTTTTTAACTCGAAAACTGAAACTCGTTACTTAAATATTGAAAAAATATCCATCATATTATCCCATATGATCAAAACTAAACTTTTGTTGAAAACCTTATTCTTAGTTTGATTTAACTTGATTCTTAATTGCTATAGAAACAAAAACATACGAATGTTATAGATATTTTAACTCAATATTTTATGCAATGTGTGTGTATAGCCGTGTCCCCATATCCTATTTTTACAAAAATTTCCATGTCCCGTGTCCGTATAAACATCTACGTCCGCGCCCATATTTGTGCTACCTAGATTGTGAGTTTATAAAGGATTTGGGATCCCTCTACCTACAACCTAGCTTTTAGGGCCCCTAACAACCAGCTTTTAGGGGTGAGTTCTCCTAGGTCTCTATCGCTTAGCAAGTAGAAAAGCCAGGTAGCACAGACAAGAGTGCAGACACAGACACGGACACGAGACATGGCAAATTTTATAATGTAGGATATGGGGACATGGGGGGTGTATAAAATTTTACATTAGATCAAATATTGATTGAAAATACATATAACATTTGTGTTTCTCTCTATAATAATTAAGAATCAATTTAAAATAAAACCAAGAATAAGGTTTAACAACAAAATTTTAGTTTTTATCGCATGGGATAATAAATTGGTATTTTTTAAATATTTAAGTAATGGGTGTCAGTTTTCGGATTCGAAAAACCAATTGGTTTTGAATCTGACATTACCAAAGAAACTAGTTTTGGGTATAAGTAATGGGGAAATTGTATTTTGCTTTGAACCACACATGTCTTTTTTGTGCACGCGGAGAATCCGTGCCCGACACATGTTGGACACAGACACGGCACCCAAAACACTATGTCCAAGTAACCCAGTAGAAAAGTATAACTTAAGAGTTATTCTGTTTAAACTCATACAATCAAGAAAGAATCCAATATTCTTTGACTAACAATTCAGATTTTTCAATAGAAAAAATAATACTGAATCGTGAAAATGCATGACGCTAGCCGATGGCAACTGTAAATTCAGTATTTCCAAGAAGAAATCGATAGACATCAATTTTGAATCAGTCCACACAAAAGTGAGCACATGTATAAAGAATCAGACCTTCACAAAACCAAAAATTTACAGTGACAACATAATCTTAATGAAATAAACAACATAAATTACTTTACATTAACAATACCAGTCAATAGACAATTATCAACTATTGTCAAGTTAATATAACTTTTTTAACTGTCAAATTTATTATCTTTTCAACTAGCCAAATGTCAAAATAGTAACTACTTTCAGCCAAAATTATAGCATTGTGGTATTTATTTTTTTAAATATGAGCAAACTGTAGTTAAATTAAGTAAGAGGCAATTACACAAAAACTCTGCACTAGTTTCTTGCACGTAGCAAGAATGAATATTTATTTAAAAACAAAAAAAGAAAATTTCAAACAATTACAGTACAAGGACAAGCACAGATCAAATATTATTTAGATACAAAAATTGCATGAAATTAACAGCTAGCAAGTGCAAATTTAATACAAGAATTATAGAAAGGACAAGAAACTAGCGTGATGTCCAAAATTAGGTAACTTTAGGTAGAATTGCAGTATTATGATTTATTTTTTTAAACATGATCTAGCAAACTGTAGTCAAATTAAGAAGAGGCAGTTATGCAAAATTGGAAGATAACTTCACAAAAGAGAGCTTACAGTAAAAGGGTAATTAACAGATCATCTACCAGTAGACTTCAGTCCAGCATACAGTAAAGTTTACAATTTTAAGCAGAAATTACTAGCAAAACTGAATTTTTATAAAAATTAGACAAATATTTAGAAATTATAAATTAAGGACCAAGAATTACTTTAAATCAATCTTTTAACTTCTAAGTACCCAATTGTCAAAAAAGAGTAACTAATTTCAGGTTAAGTTAAACTATTCTAATGTTTTTTTTAATATGATCAAGCCAACTGTAGTTAAATTAAGCAAGTGCCGCTAATAACATTTAGAAACTCAAATTGCAAACTTAAAAAATTACAGTACAAAGACAAGAACCGATCCACTAACTGCAGAATTCAGTGCTGTATGCAACAAATTCAGCAATTTCTAGCAGATCAATTCACAATTCTAAACAACAAGTGAAATTTTCAAAATTAGAGAGAAATAATTAGAAAATTACAAAGTAAGGGCCCTTTCTTCTTTCAGAGCATCCCGCTGCGGTTATCCTCGTCGGGCCCGGCGGCCGGAATCGGGTTATCGGATCCGGATCCGAAAGAGATCCGCTACGGTGTCGGATCTGGAGGCTGCCGGTGACGGGAATTCAGCAATTTCTAGCAGATCAATTCACAATTCTAAACAACAAGTGAAATTTTCAAAATTAGAGAGAAATAATTAGAAAATTACAAAGTAAGGGCCCTTTCTTCTTTCAGAGCATCCCGCTGCGGTTATCCTCGTCGGGCCCGGCGGCCGGAATCGGGTTATCGGATCCGGATCCGAAAGAGATCCGCTACGGTGTCGGATCTGGAGGCTGCCGGTGACGGGTTTTGGGGTTTCGGATTCTTTTATCTTATTCTTTTTAAGATCTACAACGCTTCGGTTTTTAGGTGGGGATTGGGTGCGGTAGGAGAGGGTGTTAACGGGTCGGATCAGGATCTGTTAAAATCCGATAACGGTGATTGGATCATGGGATGTGTTTACTATTCGGATCTGACGTTGGATTTCAAATGGATTTGTTTTAATGGGGTCGCATCTGATACCGGATTTCTAATGGATTTGTTTTAATTGCATATAAGCCCGCTTACGTATATTCTTTAATTGCCAAAGCGGACAAATCTTCAAAACCGACCCATTTGTGAACTTAATCCTAAAAACCTATCTCATTCAAACAAAATTGTAAAAACCGAGCTGGTTTCAGCCTCAGCGCTGAAATCAGGTCGGTTTTTGAAGAAAAAAAATTCTGAAACTTCACGGGAGTTGAAGTTTAGTAGATCTGCTAAACTTCACGGGAGCTCAACCGAAGTTTCATAGTTCAAAAAAAAATTTGAATTATGAAACTTCACGGGAGTTGAACTCCCGTGAAGTTTAGCAGATCTACTAAACTTTACGGGAGTTCAACTCCCATGAAGTTTCGGAAAAAAAAATTCAGAAACCGACCTGGTTTCAACGCTCCGACCTGGTTTCAACGCTCCGACCTGGTTTCAGCGCTGAGGCTGAAACCATGTCGGTTTTTACAAATTTTTTTAATGGGGACGATTTTTGGGAATAAAAGTCTAAATGAGTCGGTTTTAAAATTTTGTCCTTGCCAAAGCGGCAAAGCCTCAGTATTAGCCAAAACCTCCTCCAATTCACATTTTCATTGCCAAAACCTTTCTCTGATTAATTATTAGAGTTAAACTCAGTTAAATCTAACGAAAATATGTTAACTTTCGGTCATACCTCTTTCTCATTAAACACTAACAAGTTATGGTGGGTTTATACTTGCAACCTAATTTTCCCTTCTTCCTCAACAGTAAAACTTCCAAACCCACAAACAGCACTTCCAGCAGTGAAATTCCAGCCCAAAGCTTATATAATCCTCCAAATTCTATTCCTCTTCATCTCCTCCAACAGAAACCCTAAGGACAAATTTTCAAAACCGACCTATTTCGGTTTTTAATTGCAAAAAACAACCCATTTTAATTTTAATTATAAAAACCGACCCAGTTGGTTGAAACTGGGTCGGTTTTTGAAATTTTTTTCCCAAACTTCACGGGAGTTCAACTCCCGTGAAGTTTTGTTATGAGAAAAAACTTCACGGGAGTTCAACTCCCATGAAGTTTCCCGAAAATTTTTAAAAAAACCGACCTGTTTTCAGCCCCTGGCTGAAAACAGGTCGGTTTTTGTAAATATTTTCAAAACCGGTCGTTTTTTGCAATTAAAAACCCAAATGGGTCGGTTTTGAAAATTTGTCGGAAACCCTAAAAAGAAGTGTGTTTAGGGTTAGAAATTACGTACTAAGTTGCAAAGCTCATCTTCTTAAGCTAGTGAAGCTACAGGCACGGGGCCTAACATGAAGTGGTATTGTGATTTAGAATGCAAAGTTTGGACTTACAAATAAGGAGAAAATAAATGTTGCAGTTTTAAGGTTGTTCGTTATACAAAATAAGCATCAGATCAAAGTTGTGGGTTTTTTTGCATGGGCGGATGATAGCAAGAACCTAATGATGAAGATTACCAAAGATGTGAGCTTGCTAAAAAAATGGATCAAATGATATTGTTGTTGAAAGTTTTCTTAGCTGTGTTGGGAATTTTGGTGTTCTTTAGAATGATATAAATTGAGGTTCTTTATAGAAATTGAATGTAATTTGTATTTAGATATTAATTGTAGGATGCCATTTTTGATTTTAGAAATTGAAGAATGTAACTCGCCTCAATTGAAGAATGTAATTTGTAACTTAGATATCAATGCAAATAATAGTTGTTGAAATTTGACCTTTGTACAATTTTATCTATTTAATTTTTAACTATTATTAGATATTAAATTTTTGACATGGAGTATTTACAAACACATCCTTCATTCTTTGAAAATTTTGGCATGTTGTTCTTGCAAATACAATCTGCAATCTTTAAAAAATTTTGGCATTATGTACATGCAAATAGAACAAACCTACAGTACACATACGATCCACATAAAATCCATATAATCTCTCTAGTGTACATAATGTTTGCACAAATTCATACAATTTACTTGCATAGAGTACACCCACTCAATAAGAACTCCTATTTCTGCAATAGCACATACAATCCAAAACAAAAACAAAAAAAGCAAGCATCCAAGACATTGCATATAACAGGTAGACTTCATTAAATTTAAACATAGTTATGTGCATCATGCACAATTACATCACCTTCCAAAGTTATGTGCAACATGCAGAATCACATCAAGTTTCGACCAAAATTATGTGCACTGCAATCACATATATCAAACTACTTGTAAAAAAAAATGTGCAACAAGTACATATATACCGAAAAACTATAAACTTATGTGCAACATGCACAGTTACATAGCACCTTAACAATCTCCACATGGGAAATAGTTTGGACATAAACTATGTGAAAGCTATAAATATGACAAAATTGGCATTCAGCAAGGCAAACCAAATCGACCTTCTTATGCCTCCCGGTGTATTGGTTGAAGACCTTACTCCTTGAGACCCAGTTGAGGATTGAATGTTGTTTGGCTGAAAGTGTGGATTTTGCGTAGCTTGTAATGACGAATACTCTCCTACTGATGATACTGGAGTTCTTGAATTTATTGGCCCAATGACTCTCCCTCTTCCTCTATTCAGTGGCAAATTGTAGGGTCTTGATATAGCAGTACCAATCCAATTGACAGTGCAAGGTTTTAAGGATTCAGTTCAAGGTATCAGTTAGTTAAATTATCATGTATAAATTGATATAACTTACTTAGGATGTTGAAATTAAATTGATTTTTAGTTTTACATTACTTAAAGTACTCATAATAACTAAATTACAAGCAACAATTTAATTACACTTAAAACTTAATATTTGAAATGGACAAAATCAAATCATACGAAGGTACATATATATCACTCTAGTCCACTTTCTTGAGTTGCAGCCCTCATTCTCCCTCTCCTTCTCATTGTTGATGTACCCGCTTATTGTAACAATGTGGATAAAGGCAACAATAAAAAAATACTCAATATACAATATGCATAAATAAATTCATTATTAACAGCATACATCACCTCGGTCCTCCTTCATTTCTCTTGTTTATTGGATTTTTACAATCAGGTTTATGATGACCCAAGACATCACACATCGTGCGCTTGTATTGTCTTTTTGAAGCTTTGCTTTCGTTTTCAACATTTCTCTCATTCTTTCCTTCTTTGATTTTCCACTTGGTCTCTTCGTATGAGAAGGGCCAACTGTCGAATCATCTAAATAAGGATATGTCCACTCATCTTATTTGGATGTAGAACTCCAATTAAAAGTTCATACGTCAACCTATACTTGAAAGTGCATCAAGCAATAAGTATGATATAAATCAATTAGATAGTGAATTAAAAAAGAATGTACAAAATAACATAGACCATATCTTTCTACATAATACTTCTCATCACAAAAAGCATCCCATTGAGCATTTCTAATAGTGCATATGTAATTTGCCACATGTATACATGGCAAACTAGTCACTTGCCACCCTCTGTGATTGCAAGTCCTCTCTCTCAAGTTGATTGTCCTCCTCACAAGTTCATTTTCAACCTCAACATCATCAATTTTTGTCTTCCTTTCTATATAAGAACAAAGATTCTTACCAATATTTTGACAATACCTATCAACATAAGAAACCAATTGACACTTCCACTTCAACCCTCATATCTTAACTTGTCAATCAAGTCAAAAACTAGTATCTTGCATCAAGTATCCAAGACTTGAAAGACTCAGAAATATTGTTATTGAGATAATTGTTTTTAGAAAGAATAGAACACTAATTTCTAGACCAAACAAAATTGGTCCCTAAGTGCAAACTCATAAATGCATCGTTCAAAACTTCATCCAATTCTAAAAGTACTGACTAGATTACCAAGTATGGTCTTTAGTTATCGGGTGATATTCTTTACTTCGAAGATCCGCCGGCCGGAGTGATACTTTTGATTCAAATTGATTTGCAAGGGGAGTCTACTTCCCAATTTTTTTATCGTTACCTTTTTCGTCTTTTTTTTTTCTTTTCGGGCCTAGGCCCTATTAAACTACCAAACAAAAAAGTGGAAATAGCCCATGATTCTCGTCCAAACTTGTAGCACATGACATTGTACCCATATACTTCGACGTTAAGTGACATCCATTAAGACCTATGAAATGCCTACACCCTTTCCTGAACCTCTCAATAGAGGCTCCAAAGCACACAAACATCCTTTCAAAAGCATGACCATCTCCAAGTTTAACCTCTACATGACTTCCTGAATTTCTTTTCAGCAACTCATATTTTAAAGGTAACACACAGTTGTACATAAGAAGCTTCTACACTATCAAAGATCGACTTCCTTAGAGCCTCTCTACATGTCCAAGCTCTATTATATGATATACTCGTTTTTAAATCTTTAAGCATAGTTTTCCTTATATCTTGAGGAGATAGGTTAGGATCATTTTTCACATCACTAAGTGTCATTTTTGCCATCCACTTGGCACTAGCTTGCTCATTCTTAGACTTGTTCACTCCATTGCATGAATGTTATCCTATATATCTTGAAATCTCCATGGTTCTCCCATCAGGTAACCTCTTAGCTCTCAATCTCCAAGGACATCTCTCTCCTTAGACATGTAGCGACTTTCCTTGTATGGTCATTTTTCATCAAAGTGTAATTGAGATTTTTCTTTTTAGCAAAATATTGTAATGAAAGTCTCAAGTTAACAATATCAAGAAATTTTCTGTCTAATTCAAATACAAAAACATCCTCCTCATAGTTGTTATCCCTATCAATACTGTTGTCTACATTTGAGTTATCTTTACTACTATACTCATCCTAAGAGCTATGAATAGAGTTATATACATCATTAGGGCAAACATCATTAGCATCATCGCTAACAT